ACGAGAACAAAGATTAGCAGAAAGGAATAAAAATCAGGGCGGGAGGGGTAAAGGATGCTAAAATAATATGTAAAAAATATTTTTTTTGGTAATAGATCAGAATTCGCCGAATTACCCTAGTACCCTAAAATCTCGATTTTAAAGACCATTTACAAAACGGTAATTTTTGCACCAATTCTATTTTACAATCCCTTTTCTATTTGTATGCATCTATTATAAATATGTTCTAGTTTATTATCAAAAGTTATAAACGGTTCAATAAAATTTTTACTTAGTAAGAACTTTAACTTCGCCAAATTACCCCCTTCTACCTTATGTTACATGATTTTTTGTTATGAATAATTTTTATTAATTAATAAGTGTTTTATTATTATCAATGATTAATAATTTACAACCGATACGAAACGAACTGTGTACAAAAATCAGTTTATAAATAGCTTTCGTTGCATGCATAAGTATGTGTTGTTTGTTTCACAATGCTCTTGGCATTCAATGCGGGGGCTGATCTAATACTATGATTGTGAATTGCAATTTAACATCAGAAGGCCAATTCCAAGACCGCGTCAAAACTCGGCAAGTGACCGGAAGTGCTCTGCTCTTATGTGTCAACACGGAGTTTCTGCGATTTAGGTTGAAATTACTCCACTTGCTCCACTTATTTATTATTGTCCAATTACAAATCACAAAAAATAAATTAGTCTGACACGTATCAGTTTAAGTTTCAATTTTCTTCCATATTAATATGCTTGTCAAGTTTGTAATTGTTGTTCAAATCCGTAAAGAGAATGTCTTATAAGCCCCTTTTTGAATTTAAATTATTCATTCCATACCAAGCTTAGAAAACGCCACAAATGTCCTTGCAGAATATATTCTTGTCGATAGTCATCAAGTTCTCAAGTTTGATTCTGCTGGCTGATGTGTAGTTGTCTAAATAGTAATAGATTTACATTTAGTGTAATAAAATGAGAAAGTCTTTATAAATCAAACTGAGAGCTGGTATTTGATATCGATTGAGAAAAAAAAATTGAAACCAACACAATTGTATAGTGAAACATGGACAAAAAACACTTCGTACTTATACTGTACTCGCTTTTGAGAGATTACTACATTTGATTGGTAGACACAATTACATATTAATATAGTAAATTAAGAAACTGTGAATAATAACAACTTTATTATGTGTAAATTATTAATTTGTGATTGACTTAATCTATTTGGTAGCGCGAAATTTCTGGTTTCAATGAACGCAGAACTGATAACGTCTTCTTATTGAAGACTCCGCCACTGGATTATTGACAAATCGCATTAGATTGTCCACACTTGCTAAAGCTGTTTTTAATGAAATTATAGGCTGCGGTTCATATTTCTTATCACTTTTTATTTGTTTCAACGTTCTGTGTGGCTGCAATAACATCATCATCGGTAAACGTTCGATAGGTAATTGCTCATCAATACAAATCCCTAGCTGAGTAATACAATGTTCAATCGTGTTATCCGTACTGGTATCAACACTATGGGGCACAAGAGGCGTATCTATTAAATGGGGCAAAGTGAACATTTGATCATGTGAGCTAAAAAAGGCTGATGTGGCTAGAAATGAACTAATAAGATGTAATCATATTACGATACGATACTATTGGTCAATTAAAATTAAAACAAATCACGTGATTGTCGAGTATAGACTAATTGATCATCCATCAATGAGGCTTCTTATTGGTTGTCTTAGATCCACACTCGTATACAACTCGCGCGTCGTGAAAAATTTTATCTACTAATTATAATGCCGATAACTTGTCTCCGGAGAATTATTACGAATAAAGAATTTCCGGCATATGATGATAACTGCCAAACGAAGATAATAATTTCCAAGAACCCCTGCAATGCATTCGTACTATTCGGAAAAGAATATATTAAGAGAGTTAAATTATGTCCATACGACTGGTGGAAGGAACGCTTTTCAACAGGCGGCGTAAGAATGAACTACCTCGAACCCTTCCAAGCACGTATATACATTTTTGCAGCTGAAATAATAATTTTGTCTTCAGGGAAAGTGATCAGACGATAACAGCGCGATCAACTGTGCAGCATCTCGTCAGCGAAATCATCAATAGTCAGAATGTTGGATATACTACTATCTATGAACATGACCCTGCTAATAATGACAACGTGCAATGCAGTAGGAGCATGGCTAGATAGACGGACGAAAATCGATACGGATTTAACATACTGATTGCAACATCCGTGGAGAGCCCATGTAAAGAAAACCCCCTGGAAAACGGGATCTTGTGCCATGGTATGGAGGATCGACGAGGCATTGGAGGTTAATCTGCGACGGGGATAACCGTCGAATTGGTATCGGAATGTGGTGTTGCATAAGGTAGTAATGTGATACTTTGGTATCCATTCGTGCGCGGATATTCAAATGTCTTGATCGCTTCCATGATCTAAGATGTAGCATTATTAATACACTGTCAATCGTCATTGGATTTTTTAGATCGACAATTGCATTAGTCCGCCAAGTTCTATCAGATGCTCTTTTCACGCCGGAATGTCAAGCATTAACAGAATAGGGAATTCTCATATCTAATAGAACGTATTGTTTACATTGTTATTCAATATATTCCGTCATTGCTACGGAACGCCTCGTGGAACTTTGCCAAGATTATAATCCAACGTCCACATCGACATTCAGCCTTTTCGTTCCTGGATCTCTTCGCACACCATCAATTACTCTCTTCCCCGTCTAACCACAACAATCGATTATTTTCAGTAATCTTTTTTCTATTCTCTCACATTTACGGTCTCTTTCCCAATTTGATAGGTATCTAGTGTATCAATTTGATTGGCGACTTTTTATGCAAGTCTTCTTATTGGCTCTTTGTTTCTCTCGTACTCACTCATCTCTTTACAGTCAACGATGACGACAATGAAACGTATGGGCCTGCGCGAGTATTTGGTAATGGTACTACATGGCGCGTCTTGCATTTATGTTATGGTCTGCTATGGTCTGCCCATCGCGTACATTTCATCGTTTAAACATGTTCCCAAGCGTCCATACTCCGACGTTAGTACAGTTTAGTCTATGATATGCGGAGGAGGACTTTTTGGCATTATGATTTCATGGACGTAAACCAATTAATATCATTACACGATTTCTTGCAACCCCACTTTCCACCTTGTGATCCCCGAGTACTAGCATTAGAATAAACAGAAAAAAATACTCACTTGTATAACTTCTCGACTGAGACAAACATCGGACGTGTCTGTCAACCCACTCCAAGTTTTTTTTAAGAAAGTAGCCATTATTCTCCCATATGTCATGTACACGTACAATTGAAAGCGCACATTTAGAGCACCTTAGTTCACGTGACCTCTCCACAAGTATACTATAGTTTGTTATAATGTAAAAAATTCATTGATGAATTATTATTTTAGAAAGCCCCGTACATGGGTTTTGGTTTTTATCTGTAATAACAGCTGGTCCTTATTCATTGGTCGCCAATAGCAGATAGTGTAAACGTTGATGCAACTTAGATCATCGGGAGGCGAAAAGTGAAACTTAACATTTGTTGCATTTCTTGAGAATGATAGAGAACACTATTATCATTACGTAACCGGACGTATAAATACCAAACAATGATTGGTTTAGTTGTACATAATACATTGAAATTGAACATTTACAGCTTCCCAACGTGATAAGTTCACATTCTCGTATAAAATAATATCATATCTTGAAGTTTAATAGCCAGTCTGAATATTGCAAGATTTCTTCCCTACAAGATGTTTGTGCATAATTAATATGATAATAGATACACAAAAAATGTATCGTCGAGATCTTTACCTCCTTATAACTGTATCTGGCTATTATATGCAAGATTGTTCGAAGAGTAATATATAAGATATATCCAAAAATTTGTATATACAGTCTGCCCACAAATTGGATAGGCAAATGCATAAATGCTGAAACGCAAAGTGACAATCATTATTTTTTGCAAATTTTAACTGAAGCCTTTCTTCTTCTTTGTTGCGGATATGGATGTGATGCATATGCTGATATTACATTGCGAACGGGTTGTCTTCGTACAAGAGTTCCAGTGACGGATCCGAATCTATTTCTAGAAGGCTTGGTAATCTCGACGCTATCCTCTGATGACTGAGTAGACGAGGCGCTTGGCGATTGCACGTCATCGTCGATGCATTCATCTGCAATCCTTGATAAACTGGGACATAGATATTGAGATGATGAAGAACTGGACAACTGAAGAGTAGGCGTAACCGGAAATGCATTGATGTCTGCTTCGCTTATGTCTTTACCATTGTGGTTGGATATTCGATCAACCGTTTGCATTTGATCACGTGATTTTTGTTGTAAAGTTAGTCCTGGGTCACAATCCATACCGATTCCAGAGTAGTTATTATTTCTGCCAGCGTCTCTCTCACCAACGTTCACGCGCTGTCTTAAGTCCTGCATGCTTGTAATCTCTTCTTGGATATGACCTATTTCTATGTCTATTGTCTTTGTGTCTTGCGTATTCAGGTGTACCCATCCATCCATAAAGTGAATAGACTCGATTTTCACATTGATTTGTTGTTCAACTAATACTTTCGCCGCATTGAATAATAGGACTGTTACTGCTGGTGATGAAACCATACTTGAACGGAGGAGGTAGCGGTCAGAATGGGAGATGGGGGAAGATCTTTCAGCGGCGTGTATTTATTATTGGGTCGGTTTGATTATTTGCACGAGTTTTGATCTGATTGGCTATCACTCACTATGAATTATAAAAGCGCGCATATAGCGTCGGTTGTCCAAGGTGATAAAGGCAATCCAATCATAATTGTTTGCTAGTAACGTTACAATGAAAGTTTAGGTTCAATGAAATATGGGCCATGTACATAAGGCATCAATTTAACTTCTGCGAAATTCCTCTGGAGCATCTATAAGTATCCATGTAAATGGCCCAGTCTATCGATTAGCATTTGCATCAAGGTTTGCATCTTTTGATCAAACGCAACTTACATTAAATGCTAAAGGTTTGCTACTGCTTCGAGTTCACAAGTTATATAAGCTTTACAAGAGCCTGAACCCAAACTTCATGTACCTTATAATCGATGCGGAGACAAAGATTCGAGTGGGACTATGTCATATTTGGAAGTTGACCATGGAGATTTGGGTTTAGGTTTTTGCCAATACTGTATTACCACATCTTCTAATCATATAGTTCTCGTACTTACGTGCATGGGTATGCAACAACCAGAAATCGTTGTCCAAGACGTCATCCATGAGTCAAAGAACAATAGCCTTTCTGAGGACGTCGTCGCTGTAGGATCGTAATTAGTGGGAAAGCTGAGCACCATCGCATCACAGGTAATGTCGTAAATATTATATTCCTACCAACACTTGTCTCGTTTAAATAACTCTCTGCTATTTATTGCGTAAAAAGCGTTAACGTTGCAGGCTTCTTTCATCGCAATAACATCATATCAACTGACAAATCACCTCTTCTAACTCCACATCAGTGGTATCAAGAGTAACTTCACGAACAACTTTTTAGCAGCCGTGCAAAGTAAATGGATTGATCACAGTGTCTTTCACAATATCTTCTACTCGGGAATTTAACAAAAGGTTCGATATTTACGTTTATACTAATACCATTGGTTGCTGGTTTTTTATAACCAAAGTATTTGCATAATAATAACTGTTGGCAGTCGCATCATCATTGGCTAATGAATAGCACGTGACTTTAAAAGAATGATCTGAAACAAAATACTGAACATGATATCGATTCTAATTATCCAAGAAACACGAGATGCAAGTGCCTAAATGGATCCCGTCCATAGCTACAAATCTCAGGGAATCGGTTAAGGTGAGTTTGGACCATTTATGAGCTAAAGAGGAAGTGTTATTAACTAATAGACAAAAACCTAGTGCCTTAACATCATTGATAAACGATATTTGTCTAAGCACTCACTGAGGCTGAATTGCGCGACGGTAGTGTTTTGTGGTCGTTTGCGTTCTTTATTGATGGTAGTGATTTGTGGCTAGGTCTTTTCCGTAAGCACGGATAGTAATCCTCGATCATTATTGCCCTCGAGTCGGAAACAATTCTCTATCCGTGGATTAATTCGGTAATAATATAACGCTTAAAGAGAAATAATTAACTATTGTAATTGCCACTCAGTTAATCGCGAGACAAATATAGACTAGTCTTATCCGCTATACGAGTTAGTGAATCTCTGATATAACGGATTAATTGAGGGAATGAAATACGAAAAGTATATGTTCAGAGTAAATGGACATTTGTTTAGTAACAAAGTATAATGAATATGAAATGATAGGAATCGAACACTGCGAACACAGTAAATTTCATCTCTTTAATAGAAGACATAATGGGCTTGAAGAAAAAAAAGATGGAAAAGTGTTTTTAATCCTTGAATTTATTCTCCATAGGAAATTGAGTAGCTGGCAGTTTAATCCAGAAGATATCTATGCACATGCATCTTCTAAACCGGCCTCGTTATGTACTTAATTGTTATGCCATTTCGCCCTTGTTGCTCAGTTGGTTCGATAAAATCGTAGACTTCTGATTTAAACGTTGTGCGCATGAATGCTATACGGAGAGTTCGTTTTGGACAACGTTCTCAATTGCATTATTCACCATTTTCCAAGTAATAGAATAGCCGACATTGATTGGAATATAATATTGATCGTATTGACAAATTTATCTTTCAATTTATATTTGGTGCCAACACGTTGCTTATAGAAACCGCAAAACCTTGAGCATATCTTTTACCAATAGTCGGACATTTACAATTTACTTCTTCATACATAATTATTTATCTATTACTCCCTTTCCTCTCTCTCTCCATTTAACCAAAGCCAACCTTTCTCACTTATTTAAATTAATTTGTTGCAAATTTTTCCTTTCGAATACATGATGAAAGAATTTGGACTATAATAATGATTTTCATCACTAAAAATAATCGGATACTACCGTATATTTTATCATTTCATAAATTAAACCCGCTAAAATTTTGTGTTGGCAGTAATTTTTATCTTTTTTCATAGATAATATCAGGAAAAATCTGTGTTGTATAGGTTAAAAAGTGTTAAATATAAACAATATCAATCCTAATATTGTGGTCATGCGTTTTAAAACTGACAGTACGTGTATTAATAGTAATATTTGAAAACGGACAATGCATATTGTGATATTAGAAAACGGATAAAGTTTCATATTTCCACAAAATTTGAATAAAGCAATTAAATTTTTAGAAAAATAATAAAAACGTGATCAAAGATAATGACCGGTTGTAACTTAAAGTTATTGTTCATAGATTATATGGGTACTGGATCCTTGATTGTTGGGTTATACATCGATAAAACGACAATATAAATGAAGCATTATTAAAGTGCGTTGAATTGGAGACAAATTTGCAAAATGTATATTCATCAATGAGATTTTTCTCGTAGAGTGAAGTATGTGCAGTGTGTTACTCAAAACATGTATGGCAAGAACTAGCGCTTGCAACAAGATAATGATCCAAAGCACACCTCGCGTGTTGCCAAGAATTTCATTGTCGAGAATAAAATTCGGGTTATTGATTGGCCGTCCAATAGCCCGGACCTTAATCCCATAGAAAACATGTGGCAAATAGTCAAAAACAATGTTGAAAAACGAATGCCAAAGGATATCGATAAATTTATGACTGAGGAATTAGAATTAGACGCAATTTCAGTTGAAACAGTGAATAATTTAGTTTTATCGGTGAAAAAAAAAGTGAGGTTATTTTGGAAAAGAATGGGGTTAGGATTGTATATAAAACTATAATAAAGTACATTATAAACTTTCTAAAACACTTGGAATTGTTTGAATAATTTGTGTCGTTGTCGAGTTATGCAATTTTTGTGAGGGCAATTTTTTTCGTCACACATTGTATTTTATTAGCGTTAATACCACCTCACAAAGAGTGACAGAGAATTCCAAAGCAACATGAAAAATATTAGAGTATAAACTTTTGTTTTTTGAATCAAGTGTTCAAAATTACTTTTAAAAGCATCGAGAGTGGAATCACGTAAACCGATGCAAAAATGCATGTTGTGATGATAAGTTAAAACCGTAATAATTTTTTAAAGTCTGGCTTCTGTGTAAGAAAAAAAGCATATACGGCGCCAAAATGAGGTGATCATAAGTTTCGCTTTTTGGATGTTCCCAAGACAATTTGCCATTTTAGAAATGAGCAAATTCAAAGAATATTTGCGCAATAATTGATGTTTTTAAACACAAAACATTGTAAAAGATAACAGAAACCAGGTTTCTTTTATAATCAACTCTTGAAGAAAAAAAGTTAATAGAAATCAGGTTACTTTATAGCTTTGCCCGAAAGATACGGAATGGCTCACTTGGAGCTCGCTCTATCCGGTAAACATCCATGTTTACTGAATTTAAACTACTACAAAATGGATACAAAATATGACAGCTGACATCATACGATCAAAGATATTGGCACACAAATATGAGGCATTGAAATCATACGATGCGAATGATGCCTACAGCCAATCACTATTTTACTTTTATCACGTGACAAAATAAAATCTTAGTTAATAACACACTGAATAAACATTTGTTCTAAAGTTCCAATTATAATCATGAGAATCTTTTTGTTTTTCGATAATAAAACGTCAATGTTGCTTCCCTAAAGTCAATATGTGACATAACACGAGCAAACGCACGCCAAACCTTTTTTTCGTGTAAAAAAGTTTGGTTTGCCATCAAATGACGTATAGCTCTATTTGTTATAATAATAAGTCAAAATCGCGCCCAAGTAGTCACACATATATACAACAATAACAATTGCGCTTTGATCTTAAAATATTAACTAGTAATATGTCGATCATACATACAATACAATGCGATACAATGCGATACTTCGTAATCTTGCAGATGTGGCATATCAGAATTGTTTATTTTCAACAATATTATCAATATAATATAGAAATAGATTTTAGTAGAAGCAATAATAAAACGCGATTGCTGACAGGAAGATTGTACTAGGTCTGCTGCCCACGTGTTTACATTTATCACTTTAATATATTGTATACAATAGTTCTACTACTATTTACGACTGCACGCAGTCACAGGATGCTGATAGGGGATACGCTTAACAGTGACGTATTCCTCTACGTAACCCATCAAATATTTCGAGGATGGAATGTTGCACGAACAAGCGATAATACAGTCCTTTGGTCAATCGCACTTTAAAAATGTCATGTGAGAAAGGCAGAGTTAGTAAAGAGCGATTTGATCAGATAATCATAGTGCTGATAGAGTAGATCGCGAGGAACTTTTATTCACAGAGTGCTGATAGTCCAAGTGAAACACTTAATTTAGTTCTTATATTTATTGGGATTATTAAATTCGGCACTTCCATACATCAAGCCATTACCAAACTATTTATGGACAAGGCAGTGCACATGGTCTAACGTGGCGCGTGCTCACTATGCTGAAATGACATCATACTAACAAATACTTGCTTTTTGTCAATTACCCCAGTTAGATTCGTGAAGTTTGGTATAAAAATTGAACGAAAATCAATATCTCGCTTTCCAAAATTTTAAATATGGATATGCATTCGATTTGGTTTTCGTTTATATGTATATTATTGCAATTAACAGCTGTCCTATCAATGGGTGGAGGAGGTGCCGGCGATGACGAAGGAGGATTCGGAGGAGGATTCGGAGGAGGATTTGGAGGAGAAGGAAATATCGATGGCTCTGATGATGGATCTGATAGAAAGACAGCTATGGTAGCGTACGTCATAATGTCGACGCCTGTAGGGATTCTTTGTTGTGTATTTTGTGTGGACCACATCATAAAGTCTTGCAAAAAGAAACGCGAAACCACTTCAATGCCATGCCCACCATACTCTGATCTCGAATCCGGTAATCTACCTCCTTCATATGGTACTCAACCACCCGCACCTGAGCCCGTCCATGTGCGCGGAAAGAAGCATGAAGCGACGACTGACTCGTATAGTGCAGGGAATCGTTATACCAAACAGCATCCGCCTCAGTTGAAGCTATCGTCAGAGAATGCCATAAGCGGTCGAGGTGGTGCGTCGACGTATCAAATCGTTCCCGAGCCATCGATTTCTGAGCGTCAGTTGGCTGTCGTATCAGAAAACGGACGTGTGGT